CACCACCACCACCACCACCGTCACCCCTGTGAGTGTTTCCAGCAACAGCCGGCCAGGAGTTTTTCAGCTCTCATGGCCCAGCTCTGCGGGCACGGTGCCAAGCAAAAGCGGCTAAGGTCCTCCTTTTGGTGCAGGAATGCTGAATCACTGAAGATTAGAAGAGGGACGACGTGTTGAAGAGGTGTTTAGGATTTTGAAAGCCTGCATGCAGGCTTCAGGGCTTGAAGACGTCTAGATGCATGGAATGTATAGTGATGCACTTGCATGGCTTGTTCGACACTTTTCTCCCCACCTGGCAGTATCCAGAAACTCTGGGCCTTGGAGAGATGCCTGCGTTTCATCATACTGTGGTAGGTCCAGATGAGGCGCCCCGAGTATTTTTGATGCAACCACGTGCAACGGAGGTGTGGGCAATTGCACTGCGCAAATGATCACACCAGATTGGGCAGGTTTTTACACTGCCTTCGGTAAGCACTTGATTCCAAACTACTTCGACCTAGCTGCTAAACCAAGGGCACACCAACCCGAAGAGCAAACGAGGCTGGCGCGGGTGCAGCTTGCAGCATGTGCGGTTGTTCCAATGCAAGTTTTTTGTGTGAGCAGGACCAATACAAATAGAGTACAATTCTGATATGATCGACCAGATGCCTTGAAGTGCCAAATACTGTAAGTTATTGTAAGATGACAAGCTCAACATGGCAGCCTTCACTAGATGCCTTTATCACCTTCAGCTCACCGGATGCGGCCAGGGGTTGGCCTGAAGCTTTGCAAGGTGACGACTGCTGCAGTTGCCCCGCAACAGTTGCGGTCATCCCCGTCCCGCACTGAAAAGGGCGGGCTTGCGGACTGAAGGTGTTTGAGAAGGATGCAAAATCGACCGCGAGGAGGTGCTGTCGGATATGATTTTAAGAGCCATCCTGATCCGCTCACATCTCAAGTCGTGTTGAGACATCTATGTTGCCCTGGTGAGTGTGCAGCAGATTGTCAGTCGGATGATCTTGTTGAGGACATGGCTTATGCCGATCCGGTTTGCAAATGAGGTCCGCTCCGACGCTCTTTTGCTCGGCAGCCGTGCATCCAAAGGCGCCTTGTGCTCAGCGGCAGAAGAATGTTCCACTTCTTTCCTTTCTTGTCTTTTCAGAGGACCTGAGGATGGGGGAATGGCATTGGGAGGTGGCACGGCCTTTTTGTACCTTCAGCTCAACTGGCCAAAACGAGGTCGCCTCGGAACTTTGAGCTAAGGGTCCAGAAGGTCCAATGTTAGTACTCCTGTTGAGGGGTCACGCCTGCTCACAGAGAACTGATGTAGCACCTCAAGGTCTGGCTACAGCAGTGTGCCGGCGGCGCAGGCGCGGCAAGAAGCGGCTGCTGCCAAACTTCAACTGGAAACCTAAGCCCCAAACATGGACAAATTATGCTTGTATCTTTGAGTTGGCAACCGACACTTGTGAATCTACGCCTATACCCCTGGACCAAACAACTAGATCACCGGGGCAGCGTTGTCTCCAGATCGGTCTTACGTGCTGAAATTGGCCGGCCCCACACATCGTAGTCCCAGGTTCCGAACCTGTAGCCCACCCTGCGCCGGCGCCCGCAAGCTTGAGCCGTTGAGGTGCAGGGGCTCCCGTTTGACCAGCTACCGCTTCGTCCAAGAGGCAACCAAGCAGACTTGCTTGTTGCCGGAGTGCTGCAATTGCAGTGCTTGTGTTGTGCAACACGTGCTCCCATCATGAGATCCGTGTAGAATCCTCAAACTTTTCAGCAGCAAGCACGTTTCAGCGCCCTGAAGCTGAATCCCAAGCCTCGCGCATTACGTCAACCTGAACAACTCGAAGGCGTCATCCTTGATCAAAAGCCCCACCGCCAAAGAGGACAGCCTGCTGCGACGCCTCCCGTACAGCTCGGATCCCAGAAAGCCAGAAGATTCCTTCAGACTTCTCATTCGTACCGCCCCCTGATCGAGTCAATGAGTGAGTCTCGTGGCCATCCAGGAGCAGCGTATAAACAACCAAGGGAGGATTCTGTTGTGATGCGTCTTGGGCAGAGAGCCTCAACCCATCTTTGGATTGCCAGACCCAGCTCTGACAAACTTCACTGCCCCAGACCAACAGTTGCGAATGCAGACTTTCAAGAGGAGGAAGCCAAGACAAGACAAATTGATATTCGACTCATCTGACTCCTCAAGTATAGCTCCTCGGTTACCCGTTGTGTCAGATGCATGCGGTTTAAGCAAGCCAGTGCTACATGTAGTTATTCAACATCAGGCCGCCTACTGCTGGAGTTTTCGTTGCGCCTCCACTTCGATCGCCTTGCAGGCGTGCCCATATGAGACGAGGATGACATAGACTTGGGGTGATGGCCTTTGGCCTCCAGGGTCGTCACTTCATTCGCATGCGGAGACAGGTCCAGGCGGTTTGCTGGTTTGCTGGCAGAGTAGAGTTATCCTGGCTTTTGGCATGATGAGGCGCCACGCTGCCGAACTCAAAGCGAGATATCCTGAGTAGCCTTTTCCTATCTTGACATACCAGCCCTTAGTGATCTGACAATTCCATCTTTACTTTTCGGAGAAACCTTCAAGCCTGTGTTCGAGGCGATCAAGGAGCCCTGTACTTAGCAAACCCATGCAGGCATGGTGGTCCATGACAGTTCCCAGATAATTCGCTACTTGGGTCTCAGGCAACGAAGCGCACCGGTTCTACTTGGATCGCCTCAGGCAGAGATGTGGTGGGATGGTTGGATTGGTTTGGGTTTGATAGACGTGGAGCTGAGCATTCTTGACGTGATTCTATCACCTAATATATTCCCTAGTTTTGTAGATGTCGCAACAACTGTTGCGATGCGATGCGGCCGGTCGCTGTAGAACCATAAGTAGACGTCGGGAGGATATCGGCTAGAGAGCGTACTGCGACCAACGGCTCCTGAACCTGAAAATCCCCTCATAGCAGGGTTCCTGTTAGAAACTCAAAATTTAGCAAAAGCTTCAAGCTTCGTGGCAATCTACCAGCCACTCCCACGCCTATCTAATGTCCAAAGGGGAGGGGCGTACTTGCCATTTTCGGACAGGACGGGCAGAGAAACTGTATGCTGGGGTTGGTAAAGTGGCATCTTACATGGTAATGTATTCCACAGGGGTGATATACATTTGCCTTGGGGCGCTACCCGTTCCCTGGGCCTGCGTCCAACACGCAGTCTGTCCACCGCGGCTCTGGGGCCTGCGTAAACTAAACACGTAGATCCGAGCCCTATATAACGCCTAGAGGCCCTAG